TCAACTAAACTTTTATCACAACTTTTTTTAGTGTGTGGTTGTGGTGTTACATTTCCGAATGATTTGTAGTAACCGGGCTTTTTGACCCGCATTGTATGCATTTTCAACTATTTTTCTAACTTCCACATTTTGACATTCATGGTGTGTCACGTAATGTTCGGAAGCATCATTTTTGTTTGGGAAATACCCACAAACTTTACAACAAGATAATCTTTTGCATTTGTCGAGTACTTCAGTTAGCCTTTCGTCCCATTAAGTTTTTTTCATCTCAATTGGGACATTTGGTGTAAACACGTTGTTATTAAAACGTTCAAAATAACAATTTAGGTTTTAATTATTTTTTTAATTAAAAAATAAACGTTATCAAATTGTATCTATAATATAGTTGTATATATTATAACATATTAAGAAGTGTTTGTAAGAAATAGATGTATTTGGTAAAAAGTATATTATGTTTTTTCTTGTATATTTTTTCTTTAAGTACTCTTTTTATTATTTTTTTTACTTTTTTTAATTCGAAGTAAATCATGCCATATATATTTAGAAAGGAGGACCCTGATTGGGGCCTTTCAACGTAAAGGCAATACTGACAGACTTTGGAGTAAAAAATGTTTTGAAATTCAAAATATTTTACAATTTTTGTACATACAAAATCGGGATTTTTATGCTTATTATTCTACCAATAAATTAAGGTTTATTTTTTTACATTAGTTAAATAATTAATTTAATTACATATATTTTATAGTAGTTTCATATAAAACAGAAAAACCATATTTTAATAAATAATAAATTGTTTGAAATAGTTATCTAAAATAAAACTTTAGGTTTATTTTTGTATTTTTACTTTGTTCAAAGGCAAAACAAGGAAATATGTTTTTGATGTTTTGATCTTTAATTTATTTAACAGTTTTGAGAAGGCTAGGAAGAACCAAAAATAAATCAAATCTGCTACCGTTTTTTTGATTACTTTGGGAAACTCTGGTATTGGTTTGTTGGGAATTAGGTACATCGCCGAGTTAATTTACTAATAAAACTACTAAAAAGATACAATTAAAAACTATAATATTTAAAAATTTTAATATTTCTAATTAATTTAAGGAAAAAAAGCACTCATTAAAAAAATTACTTTAGAACTCTTATAAATAGAAGATGTCTCAAACAACAAATGAAACAATGTACTCAGATTGGCCTTTATATCAATTATATTATCAATTCAGCGGTGGAATGTGGGATCTTATAGACGAACAAAAGAAACGATATAAAAAAAATTAAAGATGAGAAGAAGCCAAGAACCAGCATTACTCAAGAGATTTACGATAGTAATGTATTGGTTGCTCGTGTTGTAAGTGGCAAAACAAAAAGTCTTGAAGAACAAATAAAAGACTTGAAAAATCAGAACGAAACTCTGCAGACAAAAAAGGAGGAACTTGTGAAGAAAAGTGAAGAGATGCAAAACAACATCAACCAGATGAACAAATACATGGACATATTCGTGGCTTTAGACGACCTGGAAAAAGGTTACCAAGATGATATCACACAACTAAAAGAACACTACGAACAAAAACTAACTGAAGAAAAAGAACACTACGAAAAGCTAAAGGAACACCATGCAAAAGAACTCACCGAAGAAAAAGAACATCACACAAAAGAAATCCGATCCCGTTGTGACAAGAATGAAAAGAAGATCAAAATGTTTCGAGAGATGATCCATCGACTCAAAGTTGCTCATCCCGACATTGAAGAGTTAAAATTAATGACATTATAATCGATTGTTTCTGTATTTGGTTATTTGGTAACAAACAATTTCCCAATTTGTCTAAACTGGTTTTTCTATTTTTTAGCCTGACACCAACATCTTCTGCAGTTGAATCATTGTTTTCGTTTTATCGTAATGCAAGCAGTGCCAATATGGATGTAAAAACAACAGATGTTAGATTATCAGTTGAATTTTTAAAAATGACACAACAAAGACATTCTTTTATGTAACTATGGTTTTTATATTATTATTTTAGTTTTATTAAAAAGTTTGATAAATACAAATATAACATTATTATGAAAAACCAATATCGAAAATGTTATTGTTTTTGAGTTTCAATAAAAAAACGTGTTTCATAACTCACCCTTTATCCAAATTTGATGAACCCTAGTATGATCTTATTGCAAACAATTTACATAAATAATGGAAATAATATTATCCCAGCCTTTGGTCTATTGTTGTGCAAAAAAGATTTCTAAACTTTCTTTGAAGTTTGTTAACGATATTTTCCTGTTATTTAGTTCAAAATAATTAACAAATCAACTGTATTTATTCACTTTTTGATGTTCAAAAATGATTGGTCAAATGGTTTTAACTTTATTTATGTTATTTATTGTGTTATTGGTTATTTGGTTTTCAAATAATTATATTTATAATATCATTTTTTGGACTTAACTTACCCATAATATCATTTTAATCTAAAAACGATATTGAAAAATAAAAAAGTTAATGTAATAAATAAGGTTTCCAGCATGGTTAGAAAAATATATATATAAAATAAGACTTATTCCCAAAAGTGTATATATTTTTATCTTTTTTAAATTAACTTTGTTTTTATTTCAGTTAATTGGACTTATTTTTCATTGTTATAGTTTTTTTAAATTATAACATAATATTTGTTCAAAAAAGTAGGACGAAATTGCCGAACAAAAAAACTTTTTGAAAAAATAGGGTTAAGAATTTTTTTAATGTATGAAACATAATTAATGGATTTAGCAATGAATTTAACACATTTCTTTAAATTAACGTTTGTTAGTTTTAGTAATTAATAATAATTTGTTTTTTAAAAATAAATATTATAATAAAATTAATAAATTTTAATATAAATTAATTTACAGTATGTGAGAAAAGTATGTGAGAATGAGAAAACCCTGTGGATTCAACAAAAATTACATATTTGTTTTTCTTTTTTTAAATAAAAATGTTTTTCTTTAAAAAAAACAATCTAAATAATATAATTATGAGCTCCAGGAATGTTGCTTTTAGTGGCTTAGACCATACAACACTTGAAAAGAATTTAAAGTATTGTCCTGGTCCAGTGAAAGAAATAGCCCAAAGAACATTCAGCAAACATTGCAACTTTTGTGAATTGCCCCTGAATGTTCAGGTGTATTTGATGAACATTGAGAGAGAAATGTTCAATGGAATGAATACGGAAAAGGTGACCGAGAGTAAACTATGTAGAGTCTTTGCTTTAACTTCAAGTCAGTTTAATATCAACAAACGAAGAGGTATGGAGACGGCATTGTTTGGAAAAAAAGATAACGGAAGACCGTCACTTTTAACTGAAACACAATGGGGAATTGTCAAGAATTTGATTCTTGATAATGAAAAGTTTCCAGGAAAATGCAAAGCTATCAGCATAACTTATTTGAGGTTGTTTATAATAAAAACCTTCAACGTTGATGTGTCAAACCATGTTATTTATGATAAAATACATAAAAATTGGAACTTTTCGATTGTGACTGTGTTTGCTGAAGACCAATCTCGATTGACCTACGACGAAGATGCCGTGTTGAAGTATTACATTGCACTGCCACTTTTTTTAAATGGCATCCCATCACCATTTATTTTGAATTTGGATGAGTCAGGGTATCAGCCATGGCCAGACAGGCAAATGGTGAAGGGAGTATTCACTGCTGGTTTTTCCACAGACAGTAAAATGAAATATGGAGTCGAACGTGACATTGCTCGATCCACTGTCGTTTGCACTATTACCCCCTCACAACCTCTTCCTTGTATGATTGTAACAAAATACAAAAGAGTTGCAGTTGAATTCTTGAAATTGGGTTGGATGGAAACGGGAAACATCGTCAGTTATAGCAAAAATGGTTTTATCAACAGTGACTTATTTATACAATACATCAACGACGTTGTAGTACCTTATATTGTCGACATGAGAATTAAGACTGGTTATATTGATAAGGCCGTTCTGATATTTGATCAGTGCACGTGCCACTCAATCGAAGATGTGAGGTTGTTGCTCAAGTCGAATGTCCAAGTCAACGAGAAAATCATCAACGTGAACTGTGAAATCGTATGTTTGGTGCCTCACACCTCACATTTAACACAACCATTAGATGTTGGGGTGTTGCAGCCCAAAAAAGAAGACTGAATTCGTTGTATGCTAAGTTCAGAGATGTCATAAAAATTAAAGATAGAGTTGGCGAGGAAGAAACAACAACGACAGAAAGTGAAGACGTTGAAGAAAAAGAAGAGTCAGATGATGTGATTGGAAACCAAGATCCCATTGAAGAACCAATAATACCTCAACAGTTTAAGGAAATGTTTCAGGAAATGCTGGCAAATCCACAAGAAGCGATATCACCATTTAAAAAGAAGGCTGGTACGACTGTCAACGAAAGGATGGTGGATGACAACCAATCAGAAGATCGCAACGAAATACCAAATGAAACTAAAATTGTTGAATTCGGTGATGGAGAGGACTTAGAAAAAAAGTTTGCCAAATACCTCAACTCAATTCTGAAGTCTTATTTCCAAACAACCACTCCGGATGTGTGCACGCAGGCTTTTAGGCAAGTTGGTATTGATTTCAGAATTGTTGATAGTGGTATGAGGGTTGCGTATGTGGATATTGGAGTGTCACGCAGAGTAACAGCAGAAATACCGAAACTGTTAAGTATACCACAGTTATACTCAATTGAATGCGTCAAAACCAAAAGCTTGAAAATATCTGCAGTTCGAAAGCTTTCAATGTGTTTTGAGGGTTATTCGTGTCAGTCTGTTTGCAAGCCGTTAAAAAGAAAAGAACGGGATGTTGTATGTAAAGTTGTGAAGAAAAAGACGACCAAAAAAATCTCAAAAAGAACTAAAAATGGGGTTGAGAATTTAATCGATTGATTTTTATCTTTTTAATCAGTTGTATCGCCGAGTTTACATTACTGTTTCCTATCACAGGTCAGAATGGTCACTGTTTGAATCAACATATGTCTGAACTATCATAAGTCCTTCCAATAGAAAATATTCGTTTGTTAAACTTTCTTTCGTTATTGAGATATTAACTTGTAGAACTTGCTCGCAAAAACTCTTAAATTAAACGTTGCCTGCTTTGAATCGTCTAGCTGCTATGGCTGATTTGTCCAGTATTCCTGGGATTCTTTAGCGTGAGGTCTGAGTCAATTAGTTGGTAAGTGCTGGCTGGCTGTTCACACTCTGAAAGCTGCTTTGTAGGTTTCCAAACAAATTGAAAGAGAAAATGAACTGTAAATAAGTGATTTTTTTATTTGATCTTTTTGAATTTTTTGAAATAAAAAAATAATAATTTTATTACATAAAAGTTACACAATTGTAACTTTTGTTGAATCCACAGGGTTTTCTCATTCTCACATACTATTCTCACATACTGTATTAATTATCTCCATCAAGTTTTTTTATTAATAAATTAGAATATATGGCAATTTTGTAATTATCAATAGAAATTATCAAACCATATAATAATTTATTTATATTATAAATTAATTATAAAAGTCTTTCAAATCGCAAAATTTAACACAATGCAAAGTGACCATACTATATTTAAAAAACAGTTAAATTATTTTAATTTATGACAATTGTTTTTTAAATAACATGTTTTTTTATTTTTTGAGTATTAAAAACTAAAATCAATCGGGAACATTTTTCGTAACGCGAAACAATTAATGTTTCGGTTTATTATCGTTTTTATAAGTTTAAACCCAATTCCCATTTTTTTAAACGATATGTTGTGTATTTTTTGGAAAATATAACATTTTTGAAAATAAAACTAATTTCATTCAAAATAAATTAGAATCAAATAAATATGTACTATAATAATATGTTTTAATTTACTATCAATATTAATTTTGTTATTTTGAAAATAATTTGAAATGGATTTTTGCACTAATTACATCAACAATAAACCTCGAAAATTTAAAAACAAAAATATGAAAATAAATTCTACTCATATCGAATTTTAAGTTTTTAAAATATTTTAAAGATTTTTCATGTAGTATATTTAAAGTTAATATTTAAAGTTCATGGTAAAAAACAATTTAATTTGCCGATATTTAAAAAAAAATAATAAAAGTTGGTAATCTAAAAATATATTTTATTTGTATCAAATCCTTAAAAAATAGGTATAATTGAGACTCTTTTCAAAATATGTTATAAAGAGACAAACAATATATTAAAATAAAAGATAAAAAACTTTAGAATTAATGATTTAATCCAAATATTATTCATTTTATTAAAAATTTTAATCACAAAAATAATATGGTATCAATTTATAATCAATTAATATAAAAATTAACAATAAATAATAATATATAATTTGAAAATTTACCTCAATTTATATAAATAAATAGCGAACTGAATAATAAAAAGAAGCTTATTAATGTTTGTTTATTATCATTGTTATTAACTAATTTTTATATTTAAATAAATTATTTAAATATATTTTTCGCGTCATATCTTTTTTCTCTGTGTTTATCATATAAATTTGGTTTGCTTTGTTGTTCTAATTTGTTAAATAATTTCTCATAAGTCCAAGTACTCACTGCTATTAATATCATATTTTCAACGGATTTTATTATATTGGGATGTTTTTTCTTTTCTTCATCTTTCATAGTTTTTAATACCATTTTTGTTGTTATATATATATTTGGGCAAAATTGATTAAAATTTTGCAATTCATCATTTTTCCAATTTCTAAATTCCACTCTATCTTTTAAATATTTCAACTTCATTGGTAT